AAAAACAGGAACATGCCTGCATTGGTTTTTTGCCATGAAGCCACTTAGAGAGGTCAAGGTTTAGAGCTTCAGATCTTTTTGCAAGGTGTTTCAAAATACAGGAATGTAGTATGAGAGGCTTGGATCATGACTGAAAGAACAAGATCCCAGATAAAAGTGGCCAAAATGGGTTTCCTTTGTAGGGTGGCCAGCCTCATCAGAGATAAAGTGAGGAGCTCTGTCATCTTGAGGGAGCTTGGAATAGAGCCACTGCTCCTCTGCATTGGAAGGAGTCAGTTGAGGTAGTTTAGGCATCTGATGCCTCATAGATGCCTCCTTTTAGAAGTTTTGTGGGCATATCCCAATGGTAGGAGGCCCTTGGGGAAGACCCAGAAGTTGCTGTAGGGATGGTGTATCTTATTCATTCAACCTTTATTTAGACAGGTAATCCCATTGAGCCTCGAGGGCTCATTTACAAGAGAGACCTGATTTCAACAAAGAAAGATGACAACAATGGACAACAGCAACAACAATAAACAATTACAAAAAGTCATACTGCAGTTTTTTTTTCCAAATAGGATGGCTAAAAGAAAAAGGTAACAAAAAACAGCTAGATTCTAAGGCCCTGTACACACGTAGCCTGGTGTTTGAAAAAACGAATATCCGCGCAAAAAAATATCGCCGTACATACATGTTCGGATAGAGAAAATGATCGTCTACATGAACCCGGTGATGTTCACCACAGAGCGTTGTAAAGAATATGCCCAACCCATAGGAGGCAGTGTAGTGCAAAGGTGAAACATATATCAGCCAATCACAACCCTTCAAAGCAACCACAACTTCCTGTTAGTATTGAATCATGGCGCCTGGAGGTTCGTTTGTGTGGACAGACCGCGAGGTTGAACTACTATTAAATACCGTGTTGGAGTACAAAGTTAATAAAACTCAGGAAAATGTCGACTGGGAATCCTGTCAGAACAAGTATGTTGATATTTTAGCGCTTTTTTTAGAGCATTACCCAACAGAGTCCTCCGACGAGTTTCCCCATTCACATGCCGACATCACGCGCGGGAATTTAACAACAAAAATGAAAGCAGTCCGAGGTAAATATCGCCATGCTGTTGATACAGGACGCAGGAGTGGACACGGTCGAGTGGTTCTTCTGTACTTCGAACTGTGCGAACAAATCTGAGGTGGCTCTCCAGCTAGTACTACCATATCCTCCGGTATTGAAACAGCTGACCTGGATCATTCTCGGACCCTACCCTCACCATCCACATCTTCTTCCTCCACTACCATGGATGTAGCAGACACAGGGTCTGATAATGAAAGCAGTGTGGGTCCTACTTCAAAGGAGAGGAGAGACCTGCTTGATGTACGTATATTTTTCTGTCCATTCCTCATAAATAAAAAGTACTTTTGCTGTAAATGTTCATCTGTTGGATGTACTATAATTCACGGAACAGGTTTGTTGAATTGTGTTGCTATTAAAAATACAGTTAAGGCAATATGTGTGTTAAAAATGATGCAAGAGTTGAGGTGTGTAGTGGAGGCTGGAATGTGATGTTTTTTATATTTTACTGTGTACGGGTTGCTGATTTATTTTTATTATTATTGCAAAAAAGAAATGACACCATCATGCTCTTACTCATCTCATATTATGTTAGGCCTACATATTCATTAGTTTGATGGGGTGGTGGGTACAAAATACACTTTAAGACATATAGCAAACATTGGATACGCTGTTATTACATATTGTTATGTAGAAGAGATGTGAAAAGTACAACATCAACATGATCCAGGTTTACTTTTTTATGTTTAATTGTGATGATTTTCATTTCTCTTTTGAAGGCAAAACTAAAAGGACACAGACACGACCGTCTGAGGAGAAAGCTGCCTGCTGAGACCCAGTGGCTGAATGCTCTTGAGGAAGACCAGTGTGTGAAAAAGAGACTGGTGGAAATCATTGAGACATCAGAACAAAAAGCATCCGAAAACTATTCAAAAATGTCCAATACACTGGAAAGACTTACCACATCGATTGTTGATGGGTTTTCTCTTCTTAAACAGGTCATTCATACACCTGCACAACCACCACACTACATGCCATATGAGCCAAGAGGTCCGATGTATTCGCACACAATGGCCCACCATTCTGTCCACCAAAACTCAGCAAATTACCCATACCCAAACAACTCCACTTCTGACAGAACACGTCAAAACACAAGACCAGGAAACACTATGAACACTGAAGCTGTGTTCCACACACCTGCTGAAGCCACTGACCAATTTTCATTCAGTCAGGCCCTTTTTAGGGACCAGTAGAGTACTGTTTTATACATCGAAGCAAGTCTGGTACAGTTAAGTATATACAAGTTCCACTTTTGCACAAGGTTGCACACATGTCAGGTTGTTAATCACAGTGTTATTTACTCTGACAGTGTTTTTTTTTCTGTTTGCTATCTTTTTATACATACTGTGAAAAGCTTAAAATGTAGCAATTGCACAATACTTTAACTATTTACATTTTTGTTACGTGAATCTTTATAAGAGTGGTGATCTAGTCCAGTCCTTGGGAGCTACTGCTACTTAGATGTATTTATTTCTCCAAAACACCACTATCAAATACATACTGATGATTGAAATCAGCTATTTCATACTGGTTTGTTGAAGAAAATGCAGCTGAAATGTACCTGTGGTAGCTCCCAAGTTATGGACTTGGGCATCACTGATTTAAAAGTGTACAGTAACTGTGCTGCTTTTCTCCCATGTTTAAAAAGCTTTATCTGTTGTAGATCTGTTATAATCTGATCTGTTCATAAATGAAACACAAAATAAGAACATGTTAAGTGTGTTCGTTTGAATAAATTGACAAACATTTTAAAAGCAAGTTTCTTTATGTGAATTTTTGTGAATATGACATTTATCAGTTACAAATACAGTCATGTTCATCAGAAAGTATTGGCAGCACTATTTAATACACTACAGGTCCAATTTTAAGAGAGAAAAGTAAAATCATTTCACTTAAAAGTCTGTCTAATGAGCTACAAACTATTATATAATGTATCTAAATCCTGGGTGGTAGCTTTTCATGCATTAAGAGAATGAAATGCAATAACATTGCACAAAACAATTTAAAAATTCTCTAACATACATGGTGCTAACTATAACATTTTTTTATGAAAAAACAACGCAGTCTGCTAAATAGTTCACAGGTTTTTGTGTTTATGGATCCAGACACTGAGTGAGGACTCTCCTGACCCGCTTTCCTTCTGCTGCCAAGCTGTCTCCTCTGACCACTGGCTGTGTGTCCGGTTGATTGTTCCTGTCATGTTGAATAGCTTCAGTTATTCTGTTTTCATCCACAGTGTCTTTTGATGCCTCACAAAAATTGTGCAACACAAAACATGCATAACAAATGGAAGATCATTCATATTGATGTCCATGGCTCTCCTCAGGGCTCCAAATCGGGCTTTTAGTCTTCCAAACGCACATTCAATCACCATTCTAGCTCGGCACAACGAAAGTCCAAAGTACTGCTCCTGAACATTGCTTCCTCCGTTAGCATATTCTTTCATCAGGTAAGGTAGAAGTGGGTATGCAGGGTCACCCAGTATGTAAATGGGTATAGCGTCTTCGTTCTCCACAATTTGTCTTGGACAGGGGGGAATCTTCATGTTTTTCAGATTTGTGTTTATTGTGGAGTTAGCAAAAACTCTGGCATCATGCACACTCCCTGGCCATTTCACAACTACATCAATAAAGCTGTACTTGTAATCACAGGTGGCTTGTATGTTAAGAGAAAACCTCCCCTTCCTATTTAGGTACTCTGTAGAATTAGCTGATGGCTGCTTTATCTCCACATGAGTCACATCCACAGCTCCAAGGCACTGAGGGAGACCATAAGCCTGCTCAAATCCCTCAACAAGTGCACGCACAGCAGTCTCTGTTGTTGGCATTTTTATGTAAGATGGTCCCAAGTACACAGTTATAGCCTTACACACCTCTCTAATTATGTTTGAGACTACCTGTCTTGATAAGCCAAATGCATTGGCCGTTTTACGCAGTCTTCCCTCGTCAGCCAAATAATATAGCGTGCATGCAACTTTTTTGACCACACAGACTGGAGATCGCATTACAGTACTCTTCCCTTGAATGTAAGGAAGGAGTAACTCCGAGAGCGACAGTAATGACGACCGTGACATTCTGAAGTTCTCACGCCATTCCTGTGGGAGAACAATTTCCTTCTCAAAGTTTTCCCACCAGCCAGCAGTGCGTCCAGGTCTGATCCAAAACCGGCGACGGCGACGCTGAATGGCGGTATTGTGCCTCCGTATCGGTAGGGATAGTTGCTGTAAAAGAGCTGAACGCCAAGCGCTTTTTCTCCTTTGTAATTCCATCTGTTGGAGCAGTTGTGCTTGTAAAAACAAGCAAGCAAAAATTGCCTGAACCAGCGTTACAATTAGTACTTCCCTAAACGCAGTCATTTTCCCTCCGAATGAATGGGCAAACAAAAACAATTGTCGCACATGTGACGTCAGCGCCGCGCTGCACCATCTGTCGCAGACATAATGCGCATATCTCCGGTTCCGAAAGTCCACACGCAAACCCGAAAGAGGAGATTTCTCAAATCTCCACTTTGGTCGGAGTTTTTGTTATTATTCGTTTATAGTTACATCAACCGGAGTTCACGTGTGGATGAAAGGCCACACCGCATGATAAACTATTCGGTTTTCCTGATATCCGGCTACGTGTGTACAGGGCCTAAGATGAATGTAGAAAACTAAAAACAGGAACATTTCTGCGTTGGACCCTGCCAAGAGTCCAACAATCTGACCTGGGAATGCCTGGGGGTCTCCCAGAATAAGATGGAAACTGTCACTGGGAAGAGGGATGTCTGGGTTTCTCTCCTGGACCTGTTGCCTTTGAGACCCAACTATGGACAAGCAGTAGAAAATGGATGGCCATATGGACATTCTGCACTGCATATTGGAAAATATAACCTCTGTATTTGTTTTTAGTTGCTGGAAACCAAATCGACCGACAGAAAGCAGACACTCCTTCATTACATTTCCAATGTAGTGCAGGAGAAATATCCAGTAGTGTCTCCATTTTACAATGAGCTTCACTATGTGGATAAGGCTGCTGCAGGTGAGTCAATCAGCCAATCAGAATGCTTTATACAGAGCCCAGTGAGGGACTCACCTGTTCACCTATTCTGTACAGTGAGTCTGGAGAACGTGCTGTGTGATGTGAAGGAGCTGCAGCGTGGCATGGAGTTGAGCTGGAGAGAGTTTAGTGTGTCACACAATGCCACGCTCAAAGATTTTATCAGCAGAAATGAATCACGACTCCACAAACTCCAAGAGGATGCACGCATTGCTCAGGTGAGCCCGATGCAAAGGAGAGGGATTCAAATGTACACAGCTGACAAGTTCTTGTAGCACCTGTCAAGGTTACAAGAAACATCCCAAACAAACCCTCAACACAGAGGATTGTTCTAAACGAGGTGTGTGTGTGTGTGTGTGTGTGTGTGTGTGTGTGTGTGTGTGTGTG